GTGAGGTGAGATAGCTGTGGCTTGTTCTGTCTCTTTAAATAGACTAACAGACAGGAAAAGAAGCCCTCATTCGGGAAGCTGGGACACCGCAGGCGGAAGGGTGAGATTTTGGCTCTGAGCTCTGACCTCTCGGCTTTCTCTTTTGCATTATTTCTGTGTTTCTTATTTAATAAAACAGTTGGTTACATCCATACAACAGCTTCTACATTGATATGCTTTTGGTTTTTAGTGTTTTTTTTCTGTTTTGATTTTGTTTTACTTTTAAATTTTGAGGGTTTTTGGGGAGTGGGTATCACAAGGTCAGAGGGCAGAAGTGAGGGGGTGGGGAGACGGGTGGGATTGGGATACATGATGTGAAATCCACTAAGAATCAATTAAAAGTTTTTTTTTTTTAATGCAAAAAGAAATTGAGGTAAATTTCATTATTAAAGTAGCAAAAAGGGAGTCTGGGGAAAAGAAAAAAGAAGCAAGATCAGAGAGAAAGGAAAGGGGGCCCAAGTCTGAGAAATAAAATCCAGGAACAACACACTAGAAGTCTGAGTTTGTGATGTGAATGGAAAGAAGACTACTGGGGCAGAAGTGTAAGAGTTGGGGGGCGTTGGAGAGATAATTGGGGAGGAGGGTCAAGCAAAAAATGTATAAAAATGACATAGTGAAACCTGTTACTTTCTATGCTAATTAAAATCAAACAGAAACAACAAACTCAGAGGAGGAGGGGGAAAGAAGAAGTAGGTTGGGCAGGAGGGTGAGAAGGAAGAAAAATCTGAAGTAAAACCAGGAAAGAATAAATGAAATCTAATTCTTGTGACTTAGGTAGAGATGAATCTTTCTAAGGCCTTATTTCAAGGATCCACCAGAAATACGAGAAAAGAGGGCAGGGAAGTGACTTGTTCCATCTGAGCCCCAGTCAGGCAGATCAAGGTAGACATCCATCAGAAGAGCAAGGTAGACAGGCCATCAGATCCACTCAGACAGGCCATCAGAAGAGCAAGGTAGACATCCATCAGAAGAGCAAGGTAGACAGGCCATCATATCCACTCAGACAGGCCATCAGAAGAGCAAGGTAGACACATCATCAGGAGAGCAAGGTAGACAGGCCATCATATCAACTCAGACAGGCCATCAGAAGAGCAAGGTAGACACACCATCAGGAGAGCAAGGTAGAGAGGCCATCAGATCAAGGTAGACATCCATCAGAAGAGCAAGGTAGACAGGCCATCAGGAGAGCAAGGTAGACAGGCCATCAGGAGAGCAAGGTAGACAGGCCATCAGGAGAGCAAGGTAGACAGGCCATCAGATCAGCTCAGACAGGCCATCAGGAGAGCAAGGTAGACAGGCCATCAGATCCACTCAGACAGGCCATCAGAAGAGCAAGGTAGACACATCATCAGGAGAGCAAGGTAGAGAGGACATCAGATCAAGGTAGACAGGACATCAGAAGAGCAAGTTAGATGGGCCATAACAAGAGCCAGGTAGACAGGCCATCAGAAGAATGAGTCCCAGCCTGAGCCACCAGCTGAGCTAAGACAATGTCTGAAGCACTGCAGGGCTGACTTCCGGTCACTGAGTCTATGTGTGTGCTCGTGTGGGGTCTGTTAAGTAATGACAGTGTGAGCTACGTGTGATCTCGCCAGCTAAACCTATCTTCTGA